GAATAGGAATAGCGCCTCCTTGCGTGCGCAGATCGACTGCTGTTCATCAGCTGTTCGGGTTCGTTCAGTGCGGAGTTTTAGGGCTTTAAAAATTTTAATGACCTCTCGCCTTTCATTCTAAAGTCAAATTAAACGAAGAAAACAGTCACCCTTTCCTCCGGAAGAGGTTTTTTGTCAGCGTAACCATTTTGAAATTCTTTTTTTTTTCAAAAACTTGTTAGTTTCACTTTGATATTTTTAACACAAGTAGGGTAACTCTGCTCGCAAAGGGTGTGCATTTGCGAAGAGGGTGCCACCGAATTTTGAGGACACTTTTTTAATTAGCTCAAAGAGTGGAGTGGACCTTCTTGTTATGTAGACTCTTTGGTATGGTTTTAGGGTATTTGGCTGTGTTGAACCTCGTATGGTTTTAAGATGTTTCACTCTGTTGAACCACGTATGGTTTAAAAATGTTTCACCATGTATGGTTTTAGGATGTCTGCCGAGCCTCAGCATTGTCTCCCTTGGGCCTGACCAAAGAGTTACTTTTCCAGAATGTTCAATTTTGAATCAACCATTTTGAATTAATTAATTATTCAGATCATTATTCATATACCCGAGAGATTGACCGAATGATATCCTTATATCTGTGAATTAAATTTTGTTTTTTCACCGTATGAGATAAGTCCATATTTTCTTTGATAAAAAGTCTAAAGTCTACAGCAAGTCTTTTCTGCTCCATTGTGTTGTTACAGTGGAGTCCGCTGAAAGTGAACACGCTCTCTTTGAGTTATCGGTTAAATTGAACGATACTCTGTGGTCCCCATTGAAACGCTATTTGTTGAAAAGTGAAAAAATACTGGATAAAATGAACTGGTTTCATGGGAAAATTGGATAAAGTGAACGCCCAAAATGAGTGAAAGCGAAGATCGGACAGACCGTGTCACTGTCGCCCGCTGTGTTGTCCCCCCCCCCCCCCACCCCACCTCCACCCTAGACCCACCACTTCTCGTAGCTACTGTTTCTAGGTCTCCCCCCTACCACAATGGTTGAACTGAACCTCGGGTAAACTGAACCCTTTCTTCTGGTCCCAAAGACTTCCCTTTGAGCGGACTCCACTGTATTTTGATTGCCAGCGGTTGCTCAATCCCTCTGTTCTGTGTATGGTTCTTCTCTCTGCTTTTTTGGTGGGTATGAGTGAGTTTTTTTACATGGCTGTTCACTAAAGAGAGAGAGAGAGAGAGAGAGAGAGAGCGTGTGTGTTTGTGTTGTGTTGTGTGTGTGTATGAGAGAGAGAGAGAGAGAGAGAGAGAACGTGTGTGTTTGTGTTGTGTGTGTGTATGAGAGAGAGAGAGAGAGAGAGAGAGAGAGAGAGAGAGAGAGAGAGAGAGAGAGAGAGAGAGAACGTGTGTGTTTGTGTTGTGTGTGTGTATGAGAGAGAGAGAGAGAGAGAGAGAGAACGTTTGTGTTGTGTGTGTGTATGAGAGAGAGAGAGAGAGAGAGAACGTGTGTGTTTGTGTTGTGTGTGTGTATGAGAGAGAGAGAGAGAGAGAGAGAACGTGTGTGTTTGTGTTGTGTGTGTGTATGAGAGAGAGAGAGAGAGAGAGAAAGTTTGTGTGTATCTAGGAGGGAGAGAGAGAAAGTTTGTTTGTATCAAGGATAGAGAGAGATAGTGTGTGTGAGTGCATGTGTATTTTTGTGTACCAAGGAAAGTGTGTGAGTGTGTGTGTGTTTCTCTTTCGGAGAGAGAGAGTGACTCAGAGAGAAAGAGAGAGAGCTAACAGAGAGAGTTGATGATGCTCATGTTTTTTATCGTTGTAAAGTATGTGAGTCTACTCACTTTTGGTGTGGTTATGAGCATAGAACAGCGCTGAGAGCCACACTGGGGTTGGCGCCGCAGAAACGAACTTGATCATTATTGTCATTTCTTTATTCATACTGTAATTGACAATGTTTTGGTTCATATATATATACATATACATATAATGTTGCATGTTTCGTAGTTTGTATCAGAAGTGTCGTAGAATCCGAGAGAAGGCCAAAAACTGCCGCCCTTCAAAAATGAAAATTTGGACAAAACTTACGATGTTGGCTACGTAAAAAAAATCACTGTCTTCTCCCCGCGGGCAGTATTGCGTACAGGCGTAGTAAGTCATTCTTGGCATACAGGCATAAGTCATTCTTGGCATACAGGCGTAGTAAGTCATTCTTGGCATACAGGCATAAGTCATTCTTGGCATACAGGCGTAAGTCATTCTTGGCATACAGGCGTAAGTCATTCTTGGCATACAGGCGTAAGTCATTCTTGGCAACTTTTGAGATACGTCTCCATGCAATACTGCCCGCGTCCCTGTGTCGTCCTGAGACCAGTGACAATTGAGTGACCTGTCACCTGTCATTGGGGGAATTGGTGCTGCCCTAAAGAATCTATGTGGGTGGTTGGCAGGTGCACTGGTGTGGTTTGCTCCTTCTTTCCTGTCAAACATCTATCGTCCTTATCTCCCCTTCTTCTTTTTTACGTTTGTTATTCTCTTGTAACACCTAATCTTCTGGCGCTCATATGACCTTATGCAGTTGCGAGCACCGTTAAAACTCTACTAAAACTGAAAGAATCTATGAGGCATCGTTGGCTTATCAATTATTTATAGCCTTTAATTACTTTTATTGTTAATAACAGCTTCTCGCAGATTCACAAAGCTGTTGTTTTTGTCATATCTTAGTTTTAGTTTAGTTTTAGTAGAGGTTTTACGGCGCTCGCAACTGCATAAGCTCATATGAGCGCCAGAAGATTAGAGAAGTTACAAGAGAGTAACGAACATAAAAAAGAAGAAGGGGAGAAAAGGACGATAGATGTTTGATAGGAAAGAAGAAGCAAACCACACCAGAGCACCCGCCAATCACCCACTT